GCAATATATTTCATAATTAAAATGAAATTGTCCAGGTTTATGTTACAGTTGTAATATAGTATGTATTACTGATATGACTGATTTCCTAATCAACCCAACAGTTTTCAGTTCATCTGTTGCAGTCACTGGCTGAACAGTGACTGATCCACACTGTGAGTCTTAAAGTGTTTGGAGCAGTGAGGCGGCACAGGTATGCAAAGCATCTTCCTGTAAGCAAATCCTGTCACAGACAGTTAGAAAAAGTCTGAGCTGGGAATCAGGTGCAATTCTACAGTTTGGCTACTTTTTGCTATTTGCTTTAATTTGTGCTGCTTTGAAAGAAGTGTCAAATTTTGTATTGTATACATTGTACACAACAGTTTGCTAATATTGCTTTTATACAGTATTAGCCAGTATCACTAGTAGCCATAAAAGCACTCTTACCATTAGGTATTTCAGTTTCTAAATTTTCCTGTAATTTCAAATAATCAAATCATTACAAAAAAAAGAAAAAGAAGCATTGAATACAGAAAAATCATGCAGAGTGGGTAAGAATTTTAATTTAGATGTTAAAACGATCACACTGTTTTAGTAATATGTGATATGTCAAGGAAATATGATGTTTCTTTTGGAAGTGAGTATGTGATAGTCTGATGTGATGGTGTTGTGTGTGTATAGAGACACAGGTAACTGAAGGAATGGCATCTTTAATAGGTCATCACCATGACCCAAAGAATGTGTTGCATAAGTGCAGAAGATATAGATGAAGTGTCAACATAGTCATTTTTTTCATGAATGGGTCTCTAGCTCAGTGTTTCCCGTTTTTTTTTGTCAAGTTTATGAAACCATTTCATCCAACATGGAAGGACAATATCTATCCACGACACCTTATGAGTATACCCCCAGTATGCAGCAGATCAGACGAGGAATATAAGAATGAATCAAGGTCACTGGAGTTCACATCCCTACTCTCTTAAACAGTGTCATGGGGTCCTTAATAACTCCACTCAAGTCATGATCTCAGGTTAAAATTTAAAATTTGGTTTAATGTGTCATGTGAAGGATATCAGCTCCTACAGCACTACATCCCTGTGTGTTTGCTTGTAAATAATTCTGGTTCAGCAACACCACTCACAGCAGGAACCTGGTTTGTCTTGTCTTGGAGGTCTCCCACTACTATACTGATCTGACCCAGCTGTGTTCAGCTTCTGAGATCTGATGAGACCAAGCTTCAAGGTGGTAATGTATTTGTAAATGATGATCAAAAGCAACATGTATAATGTTCTTATACATTTATTGTGTACTGTTGTTCAAGATATGCCAAGTTAACTTAGTCAAACAATAATAGATTGATTTTTGTTTCAATGCTTCATTGACCAAAGAGCCCCAGTGTCCCCAGCAGTAGAATCAGTGACATCATTGTCCTGTGTGTGTCAGTATCTCTGAAAGGGTTGAACATTGACTGATCCACACTGTGAGTCTTAACTAAACACAACAGTGAGCAAACACATATTAGTAACTGTCCCATGCTGTTAGAATAGAACAAGATCCCAAACTTCTAGAAAACACGATATCTTCAAGAAAACATGAGTTAACTTTTTTTGCACAAGGTTTGTTATCTATAGTAACTCCTGGAATACTCCTGTGATAAAGATTCAAAAACATTAATTTATCATTCAGAATGATGCAGGACCAGCAAATTCCAGCAGACATGTCTTCAGTGTTTCCAGCACTGACTGGCTACAAGTGCTGCTGAAGCCAGGAAAACAATTTGCATAGAAGAGACACTTTGCATTGGCAGCAAATGCTTCAGTGCTCTGGGAGTGCTTATAGCCCTGTGAGTTTAACACTTCATGACTGAGAGCTGCCCTTCATGGCAACAGAACCCACAGCAACAATGACCTTCATCACCATCTTCATCTGGACACTCTTCTGCTTTCATGGTGAGTAGAAATTAAATTAATGCAATGAAACAACGCAGGGAGATTTGCAATATAAATGCATTTTCTGTTACTTTTTCAATGCTGAAACTGATTGCAAGAAATTATTCTATTTTGGGCATTTAAGGCATATCAATATGACATTATATTACTGGTAATACATTACATTCATTTTTTTTCATTTCAGGTTCCAGTGGGCAGATTACTGTGACTCAGACTCCATCAGTGACATCTGTTCTCCCAGCACAGACAGTCACTGTGAGCTGTAAGACCAGCAGTTCTGTGGGTAACTGTTATTATAGTGGCTCAAATTACCCCTGTCTTGCTTGGTACCAGCAGAAAGCCGGAGAAGCTCCCAAACTCCTGATGTATGGGGCTTCAATCCGTCAGTCTGGGATCCCAGGTCATTTCAGTGGCAGTGGATCTGGAGCTGACTTCACTCTGACCATCACAGGAGTCCAGGCTGAAGATGCAGGAGATTATTACTGTCAGCAGTATGGCAGTACTCCTCTCACACAGTGATACATGTCTGTACAAAAACCTCCCTCAGCTCTACAGGAGCTGCTCTGGCTCATCAACAGGAACCACAGAGGACTGAGGCTGACAACAGCTGCAGAGCTGCTACAGGTGAACTGAGCACAACTAAGTTTGTGCATAATGTATTAAACATTTTTCTTAGAGTTATGGTCAGTATTTTTACCCAAATTATTTCCAAATGTAATCACAGTACATTATTCAATGAAACTGAAGATGAAAAATAAAGAATAGTGAATACTTTTTAACAACTATGGAGATAATCTTTTATACATTCTTGATAACAATAAAATTATAATTCTTTAGCATTTCAGACAATATTAAATGTATATCATTCATATATATATATATGTTGTTTTTTTTTCCAATAGGACCAGTAATAACCTCGAACACTGAGAAAGCAAAAGCTGCTGTTCAGGCAGTGGAGTTAATTTCTTATTAAGATGTGGGACTGTCTGTGCCTGTGTGACACTGGATCTGTTAGATTGACAAGCTGATGAAGCATAACTGCCTGAACTACAAACCACAAGTCTGAAGATTTGTCTTTGCAATAAATACAATATAAGTGATAAATTCAATCATACACTCAGTTCAGTTCTGATCATTTTAAAGTCATTGTTTATACAGTCTGTAACAGAAAGAAAGCCCAAACACTTGCTGTCAGTTCACTTGTCCAATATTGTTTTATAGGAACATAAATACCAATTTATCAATCTTAGATACAACATGTCAATACAATACAAAAACAAACAATACAGGTACATACTATTCACAGTCTTTAATATAGTCCATCATTGCAAATTCTACAGGACAAAAACTGACAAAATATCACAAAACTTTTTGTGAGTTTTTGGTCAGGTGAATGTAGTTTGGTCTTGTGATCAAAGTGATTTTCAGTTGCTAAAGCCTGAAATAATTGATTACTTTGTTCCATTTGAAAATAACTAGACTGGAGTGTTTTTCATATACTGTACATACAGTACATTTTCTTACTTTCACATAAAAATGAATAATATTAACTACAAGTAACACTACACCTCCTGCCAATGGTATGAGCTTTTGTTGAATTGCAAGTAAAGTGTCTAATGCTTGTTTTTTCAAGTGATTTCATTTGATTTTTCATTTCATTTCAGAGGAACGGTGTTATGTGTGTAGGTGGTTGAATGTTAGCAAAACCTTCAATGAAGATACACACTGTGAAGTTACATACTGTACATACTTTACCGAAGCATCAATGTTCAGTCCCCTAACTCAGTAGCTCTTGGAAGCAAATTTCATAGTAATTACAACTAGTACTATAAAGTTTGTGTCACATTTCTGGATACAGTATGTCTCCCTCAGTGTGTATAGCAGGATGGTATAATTGTGTTCATTCTTCTTAATTTGCTTCAGTCCTCACTTGGTCTGTTGGGGATTGATTATGAACTTCAGCTGTCAAGCCTCTCCATCACTTTTCTATTGATTCAAGTCTGGGTTTTGACTGGGACTGGAACACTCAAGGACATTCAGTCTCTTCTTGTTAGACCTCTTCAGTGTGGTTTTGGCCTTGTGCTTCAGGTCACTATTCACAATGAAGAGTGAATTTTCTGCCCATTGTTTAGATTAATGAGTCAAACGCTTTCCTGTACTGTGCGTCATTCATTATATCACATGTACTGTATCAGCAGCCTTGGACCCAACAGTGTCTGCTGGGCTGAACTCCAGGTTATTAAAGGTATAAAAAATCTACAAGAGAGTGAGGAAAGAGAAATGAAGGTTCAAGACAAAATAACACAAAATAACACAAGGGCAGGGAAAAGAACATTGAATTTGTTACTGCCTGGGCTTGGGGAAACCTCTGTAAAACAGAAGATTTGGGGTTTATCTGCAAAACCCCTTCTATTCATGATACCTCAAAAAGGATCTGTTACTGCTGTATACAGTATATGCTGTATGAATTGTTGTGTTGTATGCAAAAGGATAATTGGTCACTCCAGGGTGACAAAAAATATTTTAATAAGGTCAAAGTCAGAAATACACCATCGAACTACACCAAAAAAACATCAAATACACGTGGTTAGGATGGTTTGTGAATGTGTTAGGTTTATGTTGTATTTGTATTGCATGTATTTTATTATATGAGCTCACCAAACCAAATTCTATGCAACTAGTTGCAAAGTTTTGAGCTTCAACTTGAACTACACTGTCTGTTATGGTCTAACTTAAAGGATCAATCACTCCACTTACTCAGCATTCATACTCTTGAAGATAAGTAAATATGGAGTTACTATTGTTTGTGTAAATTCACATCATTGTATACTGTGGTAAACATTCTAAAAGTGTCATGAGTCTTTAATAACCAGCAGCTCACGAATTTGACTGAACACCTGTAACAAGGTTGTGGTGCTAGAATAACTCTGGTCCTGCATGGACAGTGGTCTCAGATCAATACCAACTTGAGTGAGAGCCAGAGGAGCAGCTCAGGGATCTTTCATTTAATTATTTTGAGGTTTAAAAGAAATGTGACAAGCCAAGCTCGTACTGGTCTTGAGAAAGAAAAGAGAAGACCTGTTTTCTTCGTGTGAAAAAGAAAATTACTCCTTCATCTGAAGGTCAGAGGTGAGGTTCTGTACTGAAGGCCGAAGCTGATGAATGAGAATCTTTTATTGCTGCCCATATCAAGAGGGTGCTTTTTGTTAAGGCAGAATTCCCACATGGCTCTCAGAGCCTTGGGGATTGAGTGCAGTTCATGGTCTACTAGTGACCTCTAGTGTAGACTAGCACGACTTTAGGTGAAAAAAGGACCCCTGTGTGGCAGCACCTCAAACTGTGCAGCTAATGAATTCCTGATACAGAGGAAGGTCTGCAGACTCCTGCTCTACAAGCACCACTCACAGAAACACAATCATATTATTGGTTTCCCATTGCAGTCCTGACCAGGACCAGCCTTGCTTAGGTTCAGCAGTCACAAGTTTAGCCAAATATTTTGGTGATATTAAAGATATTTATTGCACATTTCTGAACTGGGCATTTCTGAACATATAGTGTTTCTTTGAAACAACGTTCTTAATCAATTTAATCAATTACCCTATTTTGCAGTTAATTTAATTATATCTGAGCTCATTACTGAAGCTGAATATACAGTTCTCTTTTTTTCCTGATACTAATATCAATACAATGTCTTTCAGACATTTTCAGGTTATTCCCCCACATCCCTTCTTAACAGGAGTCAGTTATCCAGGTGGACAATATTCCCAGGTCTCCATCACACTGAGGTGCCATTGAGGACATGAATTCAGCCTTTTCACTCTTACTTTACTGGTTCTCCATCAAAGCATGTTTGTACAGTAATACTAGAACTTGTTTTAAAATGAGAATTGAAACTTAAAGTACTGGTACATTTGTAACAATGTTTTTTCAGTATTAAATTTACAGTATAAAGATCAAGCTGTAATAAAATAAATTGTGTTTTTTTGCATGTCAGAGATTAGTAACCAATCTTTGACTGGGATAAACAGAGCAAAACATTAATATTTTCCATTATTCTAGCAGGATAGTTAGTAAAATGATGTTAGTAAATTATTTACACAGTAAAAGCAAATTAGTTAAATAAGAGAAATAAATGTTTGATCTTTCAGAAATTAGTAACCCATCTTTGGGATAAACAGAGCAAAACATGACACACTGACACAAAACCCTAACAAGCCCCATCTATTTTCACAGCTCAGATCACATCTAACTGTCTGTGACAGAATTTGTATACAGGAAGGAGCTTTGCATACCTGTGCCGCCTCACTGCTCCAAACACTTTAAGACTCACAGTGTGGATCAGTCACTGTTCAGCCCTTTCAGAGTCACTGACACACACAGGACAATGATGCCACTGATTCTACTGCTGGGGACACTGGGGCTCTTTGCTCAAGCTGAGGATAAAAGAGAATTCTTACATTCTTTGGTTCTGTGATTCATTCTGAATATTGTGATACAATAAAACTTACTGATAAATGAATGAAAATTATAGTTATATTTTTCTCATGCAAAATAATACATACCGTAAATGTTTATAATGATCAATTATTAATATTCTCTTATCTATAACTATTCCCTCTCCAGGGTCCAGTGGTCAGATTTTTCTGACTCAGTCTCCAGCTCAGTCTGTTCTCCCAGGAAGCTCTGTCTCTATCAGCTGTACAGCCAGTCGGTCTATTAGCAACAACCTGCACTGGTACCTGCAGAAACCTGGTCAGGCTCCACAGCTCCTGATTCATTACGCAACAACCCGTCAGTCTGGGGTTCCTGATCGATTTGCTGGCAGTTATTCTGGGACAGTCTTCACACTGAAAATTACTGGAGTCCATGTTGAAGATGCAGGAGATTATTACTGTCAGCAGAGTAACAGCTTGCCTCTCACACAGTGATACATGTCTGTACAAAAACCTCCCTCAGCTCTACAGGAACTGCTCTGGCTCATCAGCAGGTCTGAGAGTAAGAAGAACAGCTGAGCTGCTACAGGAGAACTGAACAACACTGGGTTTGTACATAATGTACAAATCTACAGCATATTATATTTGAATATATTTGAAAGTACTGTAGATATTTGTTATTTTACATTTTTACACATAAACTTCTAAAGTATCTATGTTAATACAGTAGATATAGCAGCATGATGGCACAGTGGTTACTATTGTGCCTTGGAGTGCTGGTGCCCTGAGTTCAATTCTGAATCTGGTGTGGAGCTTGTATGTACTGGTGCTGGAGGAAATGTGATGACATGACTTCAATTTTAAAATCATTCATCTTAGGTTATCAAAGAGAATATGAAAAGAAATGTAAAAGGCTTCTTTGGCATTTTTAAATTTCATGGTTATACTAGAATGCAATAAGTTCTTATGCCATACACTCTGCAGAGATGAAACAAATTACAGCACAGATTAGCGATGGTTTGAAAAGGGTTTTAAGTCAGATAAAAAGGGCCGGAGAACACCAAAGACACACAGAAGGTGTATCCCTGTGGTGCTCTGAATCCCAGCAGTTTCGCAGGATGTTTTATAGTCTGAGTACAGCTCTGGCCAGCCTCTGTTATTACATCAGACTCTTTTCTTTATGACTGATATCTGTATAGTAGTTCACATTGTAGAAATACATATCTGTGCTCCAGAAATATGTCATTACACATCTCATCTTAGAGAGAGGATTGGGGGGAAAATCTGTCAGTTGTTGTGTTGTTGGGAGGAATTGCTCACATGGGAGAGTTGAAATTTATCAGACTGTGTCTCTGTGTTTCTCTGACAAACCAGGTACACAGC